GTATTTGGAACTTTTAATTTATCGGAAAGAGGTAAGGCAAGTAAAATAAGTTGACCCAAATGTTAAATATGTAAACACACTTAGTTTTTAAATATTTAAGTAAAATTTAAAAACTTATAATTTTCTTCCTAAATCTCCCGTGTGAATAATGAATAGTAGAAAAAAATAAAAATTGTTTATGATATTCAATCAAATCATATCATTTTTTCGTCTTGTTGTGATAGATTAAAAATACTCAATTATATTATATATTATCAAGTGATAATTGATTTAGTTTATTTAAATATATTATTATACCCATAAATAAGGTTATTGTAGGGTTTTAGAATGGAGGCATCATCAAACTCACTTCTTTGCTTTGACTTTCTTACTTCCTACTAATTTTTCACTCTTGAAGAGAATTTAGAATTCTAAGTATCTACCAGAAAATTAGTTTTTATTTTCAAAAAATCTTCAAGAGTATTTCTTCGACTAAAAAAAATTGTTCACTTTGATTGTACATATTCAATTTAACTGTTAATTTTGAGTCTATTGAACATTGTTTACATTATTATATTTTTATTTTAACTATTTAATGTTTCTGGCTTAAGCTAAATACGATAAGGAGAGAGTGAATATTTCCTTTCTTTGAGCTCTTCATGTATTGTTCATACAAAAATAATCTAGTTAGGATTATAGTATAACAATTAAATATGTTATAAGTCAATGTATATTTTAAGAGATTTGTTCCTAATTCAAGTAATCATCTCTTAAAGTTAATTTTTTATCAAAGTATCACGAAACTTCTTTTTTTATGGACTTTATTCTTTATTTTAACCAGTTCTTTAATACCAAATGAACGGGTCACCACTTTCAAGTATTTTTTCCATAATAATACCAATATATTATTATGATATATCATAAAGGCATGGTACCAAGTACCAGTAAGACAAATATTAGTAGAATTATAGGTAATCAAATTCTGGCCCTCAATTTCAAAATCATGGATTCAAAAATTTTCAATTCAAATTCAGTTTAAATTGAAGATTAAAAGAATATACACACCTAAAAATCCTAAAAAGTAAACTTTAACTTTAACTTCTAAATTTCTTTAACCTCTCTCTTTAGTGTGTCTTTGTTTACTACTCAACTGCCTTATTCTCTACTCTGACAACAACTTGGATTACTACCCAATCG